ATAGGAGACTTTGTTAGTGGTGGATGAAATATCAATAACAATAAGAACAATTCTTTATTTAATTACAAAAATGATCAAACACGAATATTATGTATAAATGTAATTAATTTCTCGCAATCACATGCTCACACCTATTTTCACTATTACGACTCAATTGCAACTGACCTAAGCCCAATCTCTCTGGTTTGTTCTTTCTACTTTCATACGTTACATGAACATACACAATTCACGCAACACCTCGATCATTACACGCCTACTCATTTATCACGATAACTTGAATCCATTAGATATTGGCATCTCATGCATACTTGTTCCACTCATCCCTTTCTTACAGACATCGCTCCTTTATTATATCAACACGTATATATTCAAAATCTATGTTAACCATTACCACAGAAGCAACTATAGAATTAGGGTCCATGAATTTTTGCTATCGATGAGGAGCATTGCATCTACAAATTAGATGACACCATATAGATGATAAATATGACAAATAGGGTTCATGGAAACCGAATGAAACTGAGAGATGAAACATGAAACAATGAAACTGGATCAGTATATATTCAAAATCTGTGTTAACTGTTACCATAATACCTATTTTCTTTGATACAGATTTACTTGTCCCATTCATCCCATTTATACAGACATCGCTCCTTTATTATATCAACACGTATATATTCAAAATCTATGTTAACCATTACCACAGACTCGACTGTATTTATGCTTCTGAATAATTATAATTGGGAATGAAAATTTAAAAATAAGCCTCCGATAGTACTTTCTACGCATGCTGTTTCATTTTTATAAGAAGTTCTTTATTTCACAGGAATTTGCTTCACAGTATTATATTCTGTTGGTTTTTCTGTAGAAGAAACCGTCCAGAAACAATATTAAGATAATGTTCAGTGTGGACAGGACGATAAAATATATTTCGGGAGCCCATAAACCTCCTTACTTTTTACGTAGTACTTCGCTTTAGCGAAAAATCGTGGGTTTTAAAAAATCACACAATTTTAGAAATTTTAAACGGTGATAAAGCACCAAGTTTCGATTACGGCTTGGTTTTCATGAAAGTAAGCTCGAGACAACAAAAATTGTCCAGTGGATATTATAAATTAATATTATAATTCGCTTTTATTAGCGTTATTAGTTGATTTTTCAATTTTCTTTGTCCTCGCGACTTTCTTTTGCTTCACCTAGATAAATTTTTACTGTTACTCTCTCTATGAATTTCTAATTCGGTTGAATTGTTATTTAGGGTAATTAACAAGCGCGGGGTAATTACTACTGTCGTTCCTCGAGATAATGACTCTCCCGTAAAATCGTGTTTTTTACGTATTGTGACAAACTTTCTCGAAATATTGAAAGCAAATTCAATTAAATTTTGTGTCGATATCTAACATTTCATTGAATATATCGAATGAAAATATTTGGAAAAAAGGAATTATTATTTATTAGATTTCGAATAATTTTTTACTTTTCTATAAATTTGATTAAAAAATCGAGTATTTAGTTTACTCCAAATTATCAGTGAAATAGCTAATAAAAATTTAAGTGAAATTGCCCAAGTGTTTCAGAATAAAATGTATTATGAATCTTATAATTTTGCAATAATTGTAAAATTAGCTGTAGATTTGTTTAGAAAGTTGTTAATATTTTTAGTTTTTAAATAAACTAAATTAATAAATATTAATATGATTAAGTATTAAAAATTAATAATATAAAATACTTTATATGTTAGTAAAATGAAATAGTAAATATAATAAAACGGAGCACCGAAGAACT